GCTTCTATTTATTTCATTCAATAATCAATAAATTTTCATTCTAAAGCTAAATCGAAGTGTTGAACATTCAAGTGAAATTAAATTATCTATTGATAAAAGCATATTTGTTATAATTTTTAAAAATTGACTGAGATTTCCAGTGTTATTATTATTATTACTATAACACACCTACCACCTAATGGATAAACCTTGATATATAAAGAAGTGCGTTTTTTTTTCTTTCCCGGCAAAAAACCTTGTACACACACATTTTCTATCGTAGTGTCAGTCGATAAAATATAGTACAATGATTCATATAAAAATGAAACAAGAATACCTTACAGAATAAAAATGCCAATGATGAAAGATGAATTATTTTATTTTAAAAACAACGATATTGTTCATTGAACAGGAAAGCAGATTATGAACATTATTTTTTTTGTAAAGAACTATTCGGAATTCAATTTGATTATGGTTTATGTGAGGTTTTTAAAAAGCAATCATTTCGTAGCCATTTTACCATGTGATTAGTTAATTTAGAGTTTGGAAATATCTGAGAGCAATATCATAGTGTGGTGGGCGCTACTTATAAGTAGTATATGACGTGAGTGTAAACGTAATGTCTGGCAGCAGAAGATGGGAGAAGATCAAGAAAGGAAGAGTGGGAAAACAATGGGATTTGTATGAAACGCATGAATAAGTGAAATGTCAGACAGTGGATTGATGATGGATTGAAGATTTGCAAATTAACGATTTACGATATGGTTTTCCTATTTTACTGAGTAACTCTGTAATTTTCGTTAAATACAATTCGGTTGCCCTCACCTGTGTTCTCCTTCACTACATGAGTACTGATAAGTAAATTAAGTATTATTGTTAATACACGTATTTGTTATTATATTTCAATGATAAAGAAAGTAGTATTCAGATTTGAAAGACTTTTCGAAGATAAAAAGCGAATTGGATGAATTACGTTAAACATGTTACCACATGATCAATAATCAGAATGCACATCACTGAATCATAGAATTGAAGAACTAATGTTATCAGTGGAAATTTGTGTGTACATTTCCTTCTAACTGGAACTCTTTATCCGACTACTGTACGTGGATAAAAATACTCACGTTTACATTACGACTCAAACCGAGTACTTTTAGATTCAACTATCAACGTTAAGTTCTAACAGGAAATTGCTTGTTTAATGAGTAAGACTAATTCACTGATACTTTACTAATAACTTGTAACTGTAACTATTGTAGGTCGATAATATATTAACATTCTCGGTGAGTGCTCTTTCGACCTAATGGATGATTTATGGCTAACTATAAGCATTGCGTAACTAATCATAATAATTTAGGTAGTTTGTAAATTTGCAATAAAATAGATTACACATAACTAAACATGAGAAGTAAAGGTCAAAAGGGATCCTGTGTTGTTAGATATTACAGTAGTGATTAAGAACTATGAAGGTGTTTTACATGTTTTACATTACGACTCAAACCGAGTACTTTTAGATTCAACTATCAACGTTAAGTTCTAACAGGAAATTGCTTGTTTAATGAGTAAGTCATCATTAGCAAGTATTTGTATTCTTGACTAAATTTCAGTCAGTTAGGAATATAAAAACACTGAATTCTAGAATTGAACGCCTAATGTAATCAGCGGGATTCGGAATGCACATTTCTTTCTAAGCTGACCTCTTCATCCGGCCAAACCTGTTTACATGTTTACATGAGGACCCAAACCGGGTACTTTAAGCTTCTAAATGTCAACGCTAAGTTCTGACAAGCACTTGCTTGTTTATAGTGAGTATGACAGTTAAATAATCATTAGCAAGGATTTATATTCTTGAATTAATTTTAGTCGATTCGAGATATCAACACCGAAGTTTTTTAAAACCCCTTATCATTATTATTATCATTATTATTTCGTCAACATATGACTGTGTTTTACATGCTCATTCCTTTGGAAAAATCAAGATATGCTGAGTATGTAACAAAAGTAATATCACCTCTCAATCTATGTAAACATATTTATTCGTTTTTTTTCGCTATAAAACTTTGTCTGTAAATAGGTCACAGAATACTATGCGAAATTCGTATAAAATACTGATATTGTAGAACTATTGCAAAGAAAATTTCTTCTGTACAAAAGAATAAATTACTTGCCAAGTAATCAATATGATTATAACAGTATCCAAAGTACATATTGTTAGGGTAGTTAGATCCCCAGAACTCGCTTGATAAATGCCTTATTTTGGATATCACGTTTGCGAGCATTGACTGATCAGCTGACCTTGAGATTTCATTTCCCACCAGGAAAATCCTCAGCTGTGATTGACTGCTGTGTATTTTATTAGTAAGCTATTTTCATAACTATCTCAAGGACGTTTCTATGATGGATAAATAAACGGGAGTTGTGTGGATGATTGTATTGTGATTGCTGGATGTTTGTAGAATATACTTTCTACGCTTATCAAGTCTTCTGTTTCGCAGTTTGGGATTCAAAGTAGCCTACCTGGACGCTGGTAATTGTCTCGTTCACGTTTATCGACTAAGGTGAACTTGTAATATCTTTAAGCGTACCTAGTGACAAACATATCGCATATACTGTATACATACGCTGCAATCAATATTCGTGTAATCATTCATGTTATTTCGATAAGATGCGATAGTGACCTAGTGATGTAATCACCTTGATTTCGAATAACAGAGCACAGTTTTGAACTTTAACTATTTCTCTTAAGTTGTCATGTTGATATCGTTGACTTTCAGTTGTAGAAATATTTACTTGGTTACTAGACTATGTATACTTTTAGATAACAAGCTGCCTTTAAAAAGTATTTGAATTGAATAATTAGCCTATTAAATCAAAGTCGGTGGTGTTCGCTATCGAATTCAAGAACCAATGGAAATCTTTTATACAATTATAATAATTCTATGCTCAGTTTAAATATTAAGGCGTTAGTATGAAAACTAAATGTTTTGCGTTCAATTTACAGGGTAATCTGAGTTCCTGACTGTTGATGAGCTCCATTCTGGGACGAAACAAGTACTCACTGTTTCCTTTTATTCAGTGCTTGTCTAACTAGGATCAGTCCGTTAATTAAAATATGGAAACACATTAGATATGACATACGTTGGATTCATCTCGTTTGCAATGACGCAAGTGCATCCATTCGTTGTGCTCTCTCAAATCCTAATCTTCTGGATTCGTCAGCACCTCTACCTTTGTCTTTCTAACCTTATCTCACTGAATTATACTTTTTGAATAATATCTTCAAACCCTAGTCTTCCTCATTACCATTAATACCTCTAATATCTTTATCACTATGGGATTTGATTTGACATTTGCGTCTCTGTGCTAATGTGGTATGGCTACATGAACTTATGTACATACGTACGAAGTTCTACGCTGCAACTGACTGACTGACTAACGTTCAATTCATCACCTGAATCATAAGTCTTTGTTTGGTTTTCTTTACTACTTACAACATAGGAATATAAAAAAAGGTACCTTTCTGAAAATCTGACATGTGAAATAAGCACATCCTATCAATGCTGAAATTTAAATAATAACAGTGGTGAATAGGCTTGTCACATTGATTTCCGTGTGGTTCAGTAATTAATATCCAAATAATATTCATAAAGAATAATGTTTGAGTATAGAACTGTGCTCATTTATTTCATTTGTTGGCTCTGTACTTATGCATTCATAAAATAATGGCCTTTCGACAGCCAATAGAAAGTATAAACACCAACTATTTGTTTGTATTAGTCAGAGTTATCCATACACAATAGTAAATGTTACACTGCCAACACATTAAGTACTTATACAATCTGTAAATATTTCAGAACAAAAAGCCTCACAGATTTTTATTTATTTTGTAAGTAGTTACTAACTCTTAACTTAGATGTTCTTGTTTATTTGGTGAATATGTTTTCTAATTATTTGAGAAATTCATTTATCAAAACTTGAGCTAGTTTCAATCTTTTGCAAGTTAACCTGTTACCGATTCATAGAGAAGCTTGACTGGTTTTATATTGAGTTCTGAACAATTTAGAAAGCTCGCTCATTAAATAGATTCCATGGACCTTGATTTGTGTTTTTTAAAAATACATACATCTTCCCTGTTTCTGGTTTGGAAAAGATTATCTAACGCCTGACTAATTTAATTAAGCTAGGCAATCATTAAACAAAGGGAAGTCCTGGTTAAATATTCCTTCATTATATATGAAGCTCCACTGTCTTTCATGTCTGCTATCACGTCATGAATAAAACAAAGATATTCAGATCATGAAGTATACCTGTAGTGAAGGAGAACACAGGTGAGGGCAACCGAATTGTATTGAACGAAAATTATGGAGTTATTCAGTAAAATAGGAAAACCGTATCGTAAATCGTTAATTTGCAAATCTTCAATCCATTGTCTGACATTTCACCACTGTTCATGCGTTTCATACAAATTCCATTGTTTTCCCACTCTTCCTTTCTTGATCTCTCCTCATCTACTGCTGCCAGACACTACGTTTCCACTCGCGTCATATACTACTTATAAGTAGCGCGCACCACATACCTAGTGCATTTAAGATATTCAATCAACTCTAACAATTTAAATCTATTTTCATTTTTTCACATTGGTGTTTTATGGAAAAATGTATATCGTTAACTTTCTTTTGGCTTCTGTTCCTCATACGTAGACATTTTTATCGATCTTAATTCACAAACCACAATGACTCCAACGTAACATAGAAATGCATGTATATATTCACATAATTTTACCCCGCTGAAAATAATTCACTGTCTTACGTGGATGTTTTCATATTCAGGATGCCTTGATGCATCGACTGTGCTATCCATGTGTCAACGATACAGAAACCTTTAATCTAACAACATCATATGGAAGAAATCAACTCAAGATGCACAAATAACAGTAGCACCAGTGATTTTCAATAACACAAAATTACAAACCAATACTCTAACCATAATTGTCAAAATTATATAAATACACATTTATTTACCTTTACGATCAATATTGACAGTACTATCGCCAGACAAATCATCTTTCTTTACACTTGATTGCATTGACTCTGTATTTGTTAAATAATTTGTGTTCAATTGAATCTCATTTAACAATTGATTATGATTTTGACTAGAATCCCCTTGTACATGATGATATTTCGTTACATTCAATGAAGTGACAAATTCTTTAACAGTACATATAATCACAATGAAAGGTATCACTTTTATGATGAAACCACCAATACTACTGACATATTTTATATCCATTCTTGACAAGTTTGTTATTTTTTTTTAAAAAAAGGGCAACGAATTACAGAGGCATCACCATTTTGTTAAAATGTTTTCTGTCTCAATCTCTCCATCATTTCATTTTGTTTAAAACAAACAAACATTAACATGTTTCTTTTGAATTTTATTTTTCATTTGATTGAAAAATATATCTAATTCCATGTAGGAAATATGTATCCTTTCAATAAGTAGTATTCATCACATAATGATTTTTATGTAACTGTATTTATATTTCTAATCTAATATTTTTAAGTAGTAGTAAAATGTAACACAAAGTTGAAGCGCTGAAATGATTGGTCGGTTTGATTATTTGACTTTAACCAATCATACTCTACTTTTGTCAATTGATATTAAATTATCTAACCGTGAAATGCATGGCAGTACATGTTAATCAAACTAAATCAACAGATGAACAGCAACAAAATTAAAAAAAACAATATTTGAAAATACTAGCTAGCACTAAACATCAATGGTTAATGATTGTGTGTTGACAAACTGTCAAATTTTGCCTTGTCTATTGAATTGGATCGAAAAATTTAACGTTAGTTTATAAATAAACAAATTTGGCATAGAAATATAGAATTTAGATGGTGTAAGATCAATTTTTTGAAGGCTTTGTTTGTGAAAATCCCTCCATGTATATACTTGTAATTTGTCCGTGTTGATTCCTTCAGTTGGACATTTTGTTAATCTGTTCGATTCCATTTTGGAGATGATCATATTTGTATTTTATTATAGTTTCTATTTCTTATGACTTCACCGAGTTTCGATGTTTCTTTCTGAACTGTATTTATGTTGTTTAAGCTGATACTAAGTCATGGCGAAAGCCATAGTGAATTGTGCCTCCTTTGATTCAGTTGCTTGTATTGACCGGAACTATGCACTTTGATTGTGAATTGAAGCAGTCTTCCAGAATTGGGAGCACTCCGTGTTATAAAGCAACCAAATATTATCTGTCGAATGAATCTGATCTATCCAGGAGGGATAGAATATCAGTTTGATTTGTTTGAAAAGTTGTTTGAAAAATTGTAATGATGTATATTTATATTTATGATGAATATTTGAACCGTCATTTATCCAAACCACTTTTTTTTATTTCAACTGGGTCAAGGCGCGTATCTAAACTACCTAGATAGTGATTCCTCAATCCAAACCTCAGTTTGGATCCAACAGATGGTGTTGACAAAGGTACCGGCTAGAACAATCATACTAATTGTAGTTAGTACATATAGCCACATTCAGTCAGATCAATAATACCAAAGTTAATTACTTTGCTGAATAAGAAGCTATTATTATGATGGGATGAAAATTGTAAAAGTGATGTGGTCAGGTGATTCTACCTACGCCTAAAATATAATAATAATAATAATAATAATAATAATAATAATAGAAACTGGCTACTGACTTTAGGGCCAAAAATATGGCATAAAAAACAGCTTGCTCTGGCTGGATCTCAGATGTGTCGGCTCAATGCCACTGGTGCTGATCAGGGGCATAATTGGTCTAGTTTGGAACATTAAACTATAGAAGAAATAATCAGTGTGGAATAGACAAAACTTAAATTTAGTATGTGGTGTTGGCTAAGGTTCTCAAAACACAACACAACACAATTCAAACCTTTTATTCAGAGCTTACATCTAAATTCAAAATTTCTTTGTATAGTCAACATCTGAAATGAAAAATTGTATGCATGAATTTTGAATATCAAGATGTAGCTGAAGAACCTTGTGTAAGACGAAATACAAATGCTGGATTATTCTGTTAGCCACACTCCAGTAACAGTGAATAAGGTTTAGCTTTTGTAAGCTACTCTATCATGTTTCAGTTTACTTACTTGAAATTTCTAATGCAACTGTACTACAATCCTGAACTCTCTCACATTTAATCAACAAAGTGCTTGACTCGTATTTCAGAAGTATTATACAAATCATAAGTAATAAAATCGCAAAACGAAAATTACAGAGTTACTCAGTAAAATCGGGAAACCATATCGTAAATCGTTAATTTGCAAAATATCAGTTCATCATATCGAACTGGACTGTTCCTGTTGCAAAACATTTATCCATTGTCACTATTCATGCGTTTCATACAAATTCTATTGTGTTCCCACTCTTCCTTTCTTGATCTTCTCCCATCTTCTGCTGCCAGACATTACGTTGACACTCATGTCATATACTACTTATAAGTAGCTCGCACCACAATACTACATACTTAAATAATCCCATAATTTCCCTCCCATACTCATGAATATTGATTTAAATGCATATTGTAAATAAACATCGATTGGTTAAGAATAAGTTGATGAATTAGTTGCACGAATGTTTGTTGGGTTTTTTTTTCAACACTTAACTAAAAGGAGCCTTTTCCACAAAACTTCATTGATTAAAGAACGAGTTTTCTGCCCAAATAGTTCGTTTTATTTGATTTCATGGAATTGAAGTGTAAACACAAAGAGTTTAAGATACATTCACGTCATTAGTATTCGATCATCAAGACTTCTAAGTATTACTGAATTGATCAAGTTATGGATGCAAAGATTTGAATGGCAGTGTGAGGTAAAGTTGGTAAGTGGTCTCATGATTTGATGAATCTTTATCAGCTGAGGTGCTAGTTAAATGGACAACGTATTTCCAACTGTTGCCTACCTCACTGTTTTAGATGTAGGTTGGAAGATTAAAAGCGTGTAGATTAAGGTATGGCACTAGCTCAGGAATTCATTGTCTGTCGGACTAAGTTACGTTAGTAGGTCCATACTACCTTGTTCGGGTTTTATTCAATCGTATTGTATGAAATGGACCAGAATCACTGGCAATCAAACAGATGGATTTAATTTTCATCTTTCACTAAATGATGACTTTCAAATTTATCTTACATTTTTTTATACTTGATTAATTCATTTTCTTCTTCTCAAATCTCAGTGTTTGTGCCTAATCCTTTTATTACCACTGGATATCGTTGTTACTTCGTTTATTCTCCGTGTTGACAGAGTGTAGCAAAAGATGAACCGATATGTCAAGCTCTAAGCTGCTTAGTATTGAGATAATTGATTCTAAGCCTTTATTTACTTAGTATTGAAATTAACAGTGAATTCTACTGCTATTCAAAAATTGACTGTCTCACTTTGTCTTACTTTGCATGTTCACATCGCATTACTACCTAAACATGGCTTCCACAAAAAGAAAATCGATTTTTTCTCTTGACAGATCTAAGAATGTTAACAATAGATGAAGGAAGAGAAGGGAGAAAAAAAATCTGATAATATTCTGTATCACAGAATTTATAGACAAATGAGATAATCTAGTCGTGTCTAATTTTCTTTGTCAATAATTTACTGATTGATTAGAATTATTGAAATAAAATATATATGTGGATTTAACTTGTTGTTGTTATCTCGACAAACATTTTTCAATGTTGCACCCCGTTGTTTCACGATTTATCACAGAGTTTTGTTATTCTGAATTTTTTCAGGAATATTTCGATGCCTTTCTATTGGATAATTACGTTGATATCATATTTCTCTGATTCAATTAGTATCATTGGGATTAATAATGATAAAAATTACAAGGGGATATAGAGTTTTGAATGTATAGCTTGGTTAATCAGTCGAATATACACTAAGTCTTTAACTCATCAGAAATATTAAGTGATTGCTATGTTTTCTGCTAAAATCTGACTGAAGTTGGACTTTCGGCATTTCTGAATTCAAAGTTGAGCAAACAAAATTGAGGTTTATGAAATCCGTTCAATTGATTTTTAAGTGAACTAATGGAAATCTAGTTAATTTGAGTATTTTTTTACGTCTTGTTGGATAATTCATGCAACAACACAACAAATTTTTCATGATATTTTAAAATTTATATTATTTTCTTGATGGATTTTTCAATTTTTATTCTAGCAATTCAATAGGAACATAGGCTTTACCTGCGAATAAGAAGGCCAAGAAATTTATTACGCTGAGAAATAGAGAAAGACATGAGAAGAACGGACAAAAATTGAACAGAATTGCAAAGGGAAGCCTAGACAGTGTCAGTTGGAGAACACTAGTCGGCGGCCTATGCAATGTCGGGGGTGACAGGCGTAAGTAAGTAAGTAAGTAAGTGCATAAGTAAGTGCATAAGTAAGTAAGTAAGTAAGTAAGTAAGTAAGTAAGTAAGTAAGTAAGTAAGTATGTATGTATGTATGTATGTATGTATGTAAGTAAGTAAGTAAGTAAGTAAGTATGTATGTATGTAAGTAAGTAAGTAAGTAAGTAGGTAAGTAAGTAAGTAAGTTTACCTACAAATATCTCAAATCAAGTAAGGAACGCTAGAGTGATCTGATGTCAAAAGTCAACGAGTTAATCATTTCTCTTTTTACATGCATATTTACAACATGGTTGAGAGTTGTGTGCATACAATCTCAAGTTGAAATAACAATTTTATTGGCTGTATTGATTGGTATTGTTATTATTAACTGTTACATAGTGATATAATGAGTGATTTAGTGAAGATTCAATGAAATAAACTGACTTTTGACTTTACTTAGTAAAATGCTTGTTAGTCAACTTCATTTGAATAGATAATTGATAAAGAACAAAATTTTGCAACAATACTGTATATATTAAAGAGTGAAACTTTTGTCATAAGCTTCTATAAAAGTTGACAATAATAATACCTTACTGAAAACAAAGTACAGTTAAAACTTACAGTGCAATAAACTTATAAACACGTAAGACATCTATGGAGAAGAAATACATGGCACTTTTTCCCAAATGACTGACTTAAAATCAAGTTATTTCTTCATAGTTACAAACAGACAGACAGAGAGTTACAATCCAGAACGTCGTACGAACGTACGTACATCACTTCAGGTTGCCGTACCAAGTTAGCACAGAGACAAAACTGTCAATTCGAATCTCATAGTGGTAGAGATAGTAAAAGTATTAGCATTAATGAAGAAGATTAGGGTTCGAAAATATGATTCAAGAAGTATAATTGAGT